ACTGCAGCGCAAGTCCTCCAGGAAAACCTAAAGTTCAAATCCCTCTTCGACCAGCTTGAATACGGCTTGGAAGAAAAGACTGCTGCTGCTGAAGCTGACATGCATGTTTCCGAGGACTATGGCCCTTAATGTTATACTGCTTAACCACAAAAGGCCTTCCTTGAGAACAACAATGCCATCATCTTCACTGATGAAGACATAGAAGTAGCTTTCCCTAACCATCGAAGGCCATTGTACCTAGAAGGACAAATCAATGACGTCTTCATTAGGCAAGCTTTGGTTGACATTGGTTCCTCCGTCAACAGTCTGCCCTTGGCAGTGCTCACTGAAGTAGGCATCCCAACATCAAAGGTGGTAAGGTCTCAAATCTCTATCAATTGGTTTAGGAATAGCAGCGAGGAAACTATTGGATATATCAAGATCGACTTGAAGATCGGCCCTATCAGGTCATTTACTAAGTTTTATGTGATGGACATCAACGTGGCTTACCACCCTTTACTCGAAAGGCCATGGATAAACTAGCATAAACTCGCAGTCTCCACCTACCACCAGTGTGTCAAAGGAAGGATTGGTCTAAGGCCTATTCGCATCCCAAGAAACCAGATGTCATTCAACCTAAATGAAGTTCACTATTTTGATGTCGAGTTCTAAAATGATTTCTCAAGTATCGGAAGTGGCATATCACATGCCTCAGGGATACCTTTACCTCTTTGGGAAGAAGTTAGAGATCTTAGTGACCAAGAATTCATAGCAAAGGAAAACATATACAACCAGAAGCCAATGTTCTTGCCAACACTCCACCTCAATGCTCCAAGGTCATGATTCTCGACAGCCGCATCGTCTACCGCTTATGACGGGTTAGGGGGCCTGACCACATTGTGTGGTAAAGCCCCAAGTATGGAGGTGTTGCACACCAAACAAGTGAAATTCCCAAAGAAACTAAAGACAAGCATGCACCTGTTGCTAAGGATGAATCCCTACAGAAAATCATGCATGCGCCAAAATGCATGCATGATGGATCTACTGCAGTAGCGGAAAAACTTGAAGAGGTAAGAAACTTGAAGTGATGATCCCTCTGTGAAAAAAATTGATTTCTATTAGTGTCTATGGTAAAAAACTTGAAGCGATGATCCCTCTGTGAAAAAATTGATTTCTATTAGTGTTTACTTAACTGTTAAGGAAAAGAAAAAACTAGTCAACCTGCTAAAAGAGTTAAAGGACGACTTTGCCTAGAGCTATGAAGAGATGCCAGGCCTTGATCCAAATTTAGTATGCAACACGCTAAATACGTAGCCTGAGATCAAGCCTGTTGTGTAGTAAAAGAGGAATTTCCACCCATAAATATAGGCTAAAATTAAAGTCGAGGTAGAGAAACTCATTGCTGCAAAAATTATCAAGCATATCAAACACCCCATTTGGCTAGCCAATATCGTCCTAGTAAAGAAGAAAAACATTGTCCAAATCTAGATATACATCGACTACCGAGATCTTAATGCAACATGCCCAAAAGATGAGTTCCCATTGCCCAACATGGACATCATGATCGATTCAACCTCAGGGCAAGGCATGTTTATGGATGGCTTCAGCGAATACAATCAAATCAAGATGTCTGGCAAAAATGTTAAGAATAATGAGATGACGAATTACTTCAATTCCCCTGCATTGGATGTTTCAGTTGCTTTTCCGCAAGCAACGCCGGCTTCTACTTTTCCTCCCTGCAGTAAGAACATTGACCATCATTATATAATAGATATCGTATAGATAAACTTGTATGTGTGTCTATGGAGAAATTGTCTTTTGTAAAACAGTTCAGGATTTCCTCTTGTTATGTAACTTATGTGAATCCAGACTATTGAGTCGAAATTTTCGGATTTGCGTATTCATCTTGTCTCACTTTTTGCATTCTGGTTTGTTTACTTTGTTTCCTTGTGAATATTTAGTACATTGCTCGTGCACCTCTTTAGTTGTTGTGATTTTGATTTGTAATTTGAAGAAACGGGCAACTTCAGTAATTAACTTTCATATTCTTATCTCTTGGCCTTAAAAATTTACAGCTTCGAATTACTACCAGATTGATGATCTATTGACACCTGAGGAGCAGGCTATTAGGTTGAGAGTAAGAGAGTGTATGGAGAAAGACGTGGCTCCAATTATGGCAGAGGTATCCTTTTTACTCTAACCATTTCTGCATTTCATATTAAGGCTAAAACAGTCAATATTTAATTATTTAATATACATTCGTAAACAATGAGATTGATCTGCGAACTTGGTTTTTCAGTATTGTGAGAAGGCAGAGTTTCCATTTCAAATTATTCCAAAGCTTGGTGCATTGCGCATTGCTGGTGGGACAATCAAGGTGCTTAATACATAACTTAATAAGTTATTTTTAAGTCTTGCATTCGATAATTTGTTGGATGGGTTGGTAATTTCGCTTGTGGCCTTCTTTCTATCAGGGTTATGGGTGTCCTGGTCTTTCTCTTACGGCAAATGCTTTTGCTACAGCTGAAATTGCAAGAGTTGATGCAAGCTGTTCTACTTTCTTCTTGGTTCATTCCTCAGCAGCAATGCTTACTATTGGTTAGAATTTGGATAATTTTATTTTTGACCTTTTGTTTTATAAATAACCAAACCTTCACTGAAAAATGATGTTGTTGACACGTCAAGGCTTATAACTAGTCTAACATTTCTGGACTGTGAAGAATAGCATTATGTGGGTCGGAGGCTCAAAAGCAGAAATATCTACTTTCTTTGGCTGAATTTAAGACTGTCGCCTGCTGGGTAAGATGCTCTTTTATGATATTCGTATCTAATATCTTTTTATGCTAATGTCAAGATACTCAGATCTGTTTATCTGCATGTTAAAGGGTTTGACTGAGCCTGACTATGGAAGTGATGCAAGTGCCTTGAGAGCGACAGCAACAAAGGTCAAGGATTTCAACCTTCTCATTTGCTTCTTTATTTCTGTTAAATGGTATTATCATGCTCTTTTGGTTTTTGGGTGTCATGGCTCCGATCATGCTATATCATGTATTCTTGTGTTGTTGGGATCGTCAGGTGGAAGGAGGTTGGGTACTTGAAGGCCAAAAGGGATGGATAGGAAATAGTACATTTGCCAATGTCTTGATTATTTTTGCTAGGAATACAACAACAAATCAGATTAATGGGTATGTAAAAACATAAACATGCGAACAACCTCTCAATATGTGTTCGGAACTTGTTTGTCAAGCTTCAAAGTTATGCAGAATTTACGATTATTTCTTTCTGATTATGCTTCTCCTTGACTCCAAATTGCTTTGGTGTTTAGATGCCTAGATGCATCCAAAATTTAGCATGATGGTTTATCGTAGCAGCACTCTCATGTTGAATGCTTTTTTTCTCCTTCTATTTCAGATTTATAGTAAAGAAGAATGCCCCTGGACTGACAGCTACAAAAATAGAAAATAAAATTGGTTTACGCATTGTTCAAAATGGAGATATTCTCTTAAATAAAGTATTTGTTCCAGATGAGGAAAGGCTACCTGGTGTTAATTCTTTTTTAGGATACTAACAAGGTAAGCTGCAGAGCTGCATTATTGCAATTTGTTTAATCTTCTCCCTTTAGAGTAATTTAGACATAAATTCTACTTCTTATTCGAGCTTATGTTTAATAAACAAGACATGTTTAAGCTTGACTAGAGATTCATATTGGTCTTTGTAATAGCTCTTTATTCCCCTTTTGAGAGATAAGGCTTGATACTGTGATGACGTTATCCCAAAGTTATAACGACATTATCCCAAAGTTATAACTCTGAATCTTCTTTCTACGGAGCATGGAGCAAAAGTTTTTCATTATGTTGCCCTAATATAAAACAGATGTGCTATGGTCTCTCATTTCTCACACATGTGAGAGTGACACGTATAATGCTGTCTTCATGAGTATTTATTGATTTGATGTTGCTTTAAACTACTGAATACAGGTTCTTGCTGTTTCGCGTGTCATGGTCGCCTGGCAACCTATTGGTTTATGTATGGGGGTCTATGATATATGTCACAGGTATAAAAACATGCCTAAGCAGCGCTCTCTCTCTCTCTCTCTCTCTCTCTCTCTCTCTCATCTTCCATTTACCATAATTCAAGTTCCTCTGTATTAAGTCTAAATTATAAGGATTTGAAAGGTATCTGAAGGAGAGGAAACAATTTGGAGCCCCTCTTGCAGCTTTCCAGATCAACCAAGAGAAACTTGTCCGTATGCTTGGTAATGTTCAAGCTATGGTTCTTATAGGTTGGCGCCTCTGCAAGCTGTATAAGGCGGGTAAAATGACTCCTGGTCATGCTCGCATGGGGAAGGTAGAAAAAAATGACATCCTGATGCATTTAGTTATCCTATTGCTTATACATTCAAAATACTAAATGGGTGCAATTTTCAAGCTAGGACTTGAAGGCAATGATAGGATTGATTTTAAATTTGCTGTGTCTTATTAACTTGTATACCTATTCCTCTGTCCTACCGTTGTCGGTAAAGGGTTAGGTAACGTTTGCTATCGACTCCTTTAGTGTAGGAACCTAGCAGACTCCCATGAGTTTCGAAGACATTTTTAATCAACAACTGTCGTCCATGAGATAAAAAGTTGCTCTTAAGTGCTTGGAGTTGGTCTAATTGGCCTCCGAGTGGGAGAAACGTTTGACTAAAAGTGTCTAAGCAAGTTTCGTTCTCTTGATCATCTGGTAACCTTTCCTTAAGCGATTAAAATTTGATCTAATTGGACTCCAAGCAGGAGAAAAGTACAAGTAGAAGTTTGGTCAAGTCTCATTGTGTTGACCATACATTCTAAACATCATACCTTTCTTAGTTCTGCCGTGTCTCGTTCTGTTGACCATACATTCCAAAAATCATACCTTTTAGTAATATTTTTGGTGTCTAATCGAAACTTATAAAGTGTCATTTTTCTCTGTAACTAAAGCAAATTACATAATCATTTCCTATTCATTGCGTTCCAAATTTAAATTTACTGTGTCCCAAGTTCAAAACTTTCCTTTATATCAATTATATTAAAAAACATTTTCATCATCCAAGCTCCATTGCAAAGTGCAATCATATTAAATATAACATAATGCACATCTCAAAATTACCATTACCATCCATAATCAAAATTATTAGCCAAAATTTCACTGCCTGCCCCGAGCTCAGCAAATCCACCAGCTTCGTCGCCATCATCATCCTCAGCAAGTTGGCATTCTCCACCACGCTCTCCAATGCCGACTTAAGCGACTTGATCACCACGTCGTCCTCCACGATCTCCCCGTGGCCGGCCCTCCTGTACTGCCTCACCGCATCCATGAACGGCGGTGCCGCCACGCTCTCGTGAATCTTGGCGCGCTTGTCGTTGAGCGCGCGCTCCTCGACTCGGGTCGCCTCCCTTAGCCGGGCCATCCTGACCTGCAGCTGGTCGCTCAAATCGGACACCGACTCGGTCACAAGCTGAAATACGATACTCTGTTTGTACCCGGCGATCCAAAGCAGGCTCCTTTCGTAGGAAGTATACCTAATTTGAAGCAATCTCAGTAAGAGCTCATCGAGGAAGTGTCCTTGCCGGACCAGCCAGCCCTCGTAGAATGCCTCGAATGTGTTTGACGCATTGCCACTTTGAGAACCGTTTGTCATAACCAAAACAAAAACAGTAAAGCTTTCTGGGGTTTTAATGGCGACGAAAAACAGAGAGATGGGTGGGATTAAATAGGAGGTGGGATTCGAAAGGTGGGGGATTTCTTTTGGGATTTTGGTTTTTGATTTGCTTTGTGGGCAAGTAATGCTAATGAGTGAGGATACTTCGACAGCAAGCTTCATGCATTTTGTTTTTTTTCAGAGAGAGAGAGGGGAAAACAGAGAAGGTGAGGCTCAGACGGAGACGCGTGTGCAGTTCGACGCCATGAAAGAGAGAGAGAGAGGGATGTATATAACTCAACAAGTCTCAATTCTTTTATGCATGAAGTGGGAAATCCAATGAGGTTTGAAATTGTGCGATGACCGACAATAAAACTATTTGTTAATTATTTATTCTCGTTCGTAAATTTGTGTGCTTTTGTTTGTTGTACACGTCAGAATGATTCGTTGAAATATACATTTAACAACTCTAATGTACTAAAAACGTATTATACACATACGTACATATTGAAATATATGTTTTCCAATAATCTCGCTCACGCAAATGATCTATGTTCTTAAGAAGAGATGTGAATAATATTTTTGTAAATTCACACTTATAAGACTCTTCACATTCCATAGAGCTTGATCGAAATCTGAATGGCTCGATCATCTAACAAAGGTGTTCATTTTGTAGACCATAAGTTTTGCATCGCATAGTAATGGGGTCCTTTCTTTTGACTACCCTAATCTCGGGGGAAGGGATCGGACTTGAGAGTAAAGGGTAGGACACACTATGTAGCCAAAATCATTAAGCGGGGCGTACTCAATTGAGATTTTGAAAGATTTCTAAGAGTATAGCGTCGACTTACTGAGCAATCTTTAGCATGGAGTCCTCTTCAGTAGAAGATAAAAAGGAAATGCCAAGTTCATCTACTGAATCTTAAATCAGATATGAAATTGGATAACAAAGCTCCAAGAACACCGAGGAGTTCAAACATCCATAGATGCATGCCACATACAGAGATTACGAGTGAGAATTATGGAAGTCATTAATTCCTTAACTAGACTAGCCACGGAATGAGAGTAGGTTGGAAACGTATCGAACGAGAAAGTACAACAGTCAAACATACAAGCAGCAACAAGCAAGTTTCCTAAGAAAATTACCTGATTAGAATATTGGCTAAGTCTCGATGACGAACAAAACAAAATGATTTCCAGAAGCTAAGCGAAACATGATCTGTTTTTGCAACTATGCACAAAAGTAATAAAAGTGGTTTACTTTTGTCACACCAATTCATCAATGCAAAGCAGTTCATTGCCCCATAACTCCAATACCAAAAAAAAACCTAAAAAATCCAAATTTTTTAATTTCTATTACTCTGTCAACTTCTGGGTGCTTCCGATGTTTGCCTAATTCCCATCTCAGAAAACAAATTGTGGGAATTACACATGCTGTGTAAATTGATGAAACAACTAATAAATTGAACAAAACAGGAACCCTAAAACAAGTAATCAATGCGCATTCGGCTAGAAATTTGAATTTTAGATGGAAATAATCAAAATACAGCAGTAGTTTTCTACATATGCGAAAAGAGCAAAGCTTACTGAAGATAGCTGGAGAGGACTCGGATGAAGGGATGCTACTGTAACAGGGGATCGGAGTGATTGGGAGAGGTTTTGACTCACGATAAAAACGAATTTCAACCACATTATCGTTAAATACTTGATCCACTTCTCTATTGATAATATTATTTGTTTAAAAAAATTCATATAACAAAATTTGTTTTTCTTATTTACCAATTTTATGTTGTAAAGGGGGACGACCTGTTATAATAAAATAAATTTATCTGCGGAAAACATATTTTGAGGCATGCTATCTTATTTATTTGCCTATAAATCAACTCAATCAAATGTTTTAGAAAGAACACGACACAATATAGAAATTAATGTAAGCGATATCAAGGCTAGAGAGAAGAAAAAAAAAAGTGAGAATTATCTTTATATTCTATTATTTGACATAATGAAAGCCTAAAAACTAAATATGCAGTATCAATTTCTAGTTAAATCTTGACTATTCTGATCTATCTCCTTGAGTGTTTGGACTTTGTTTTAGAAGTGTGCAAAACTTGGATAAACAATAGGCATAACGTCGGGCTTAACTGTATCCACAAGGCTTATTTGCATATCCCTTTTGCACATTGTATGTCGGGGCAAATAAATTATGAATGGCAACATATTTATACGTGCCTTAAAACAATCTTTCATCCTTCGTCACAACCATAACCCACATGCTACCAAAACAAAAAAAAATCCAACAAAACTTGTGTAGCACATGCAACCATCTGGGAAGAAATATGAGACTAAAATGTTATAAACTGCTTCAGCATTGAGTTTATTCTAAACAGGATAGACATAACCAAGACAATTACAAATAGCTCCACACAAATAAGAATTTGAAAGCTTCAAGTCATACAAATGAAAACTTCGTCCCTATAAAACAACCGCTAACATAAAAGAGGCAAGGTTCAAAACGATGGTAGGAAAGGTACAGAAAAATAAGAAAAGAAAAACCACAAGCAGATATCTTTGCCATTCTTTAGCCTTCTTGAACTTTGAGGTACGAGTCTCTAATTGCACTCATTTTTCCAACAACCATATTCAGAAGCATCCGCTTCCTTGGTGATACTACACAGCAGGAAAGTCCTATCTGCATCACAGCAAACAAGCATTCCTCTACCTTTTTTGCTTTCACCATTCCGCGATTGTTACGTCTGGGCAGCGTAGTCCTTTCGTATCTGTCATCGTTAACACTACCATCAGCTTCAAAGTCGAGGAGCAATGAAGGGTCAACAACGTCCATGACATGGTCAGGCAAAGCCATGGCTACGAATTTGTAAATGCTTAAACCTTCGATGAACATGTCATCAGTAGGTGTTTTGCCTGTGAACATTTCTAGCAAAAGTATCCCGTAGCTGTAAACATCTCCCTGTATGGAAACTTGGCCTCCCATGACGTACTCTGCCATGACATACATATAGACAATAAGATGTCACATGCAATTGACTATTAAAATTGATATCTTATTTCAAATTAATGTTACTTGTTTCCAGGAAAAAGAGTCAATAGTATATCTTTAATAAATAGAATTTAATTAATTGGTTTTTAGTAGTAAGTTAATAATTAAGAACCGAAAATATAAATTAGAATGATGGAAACTCATACCTGGAGGTATGTAACCTACATAACCCTTGAGTTGCAATGACATTGTTTGACTGAAACAAGGATCATTTGATGCTTACAAGAGGAACCTTGCTAAACCAAAGTCCCCAACATGGGCTACCATGTCTTCATCAAGAAGTACATTGCTCGGCTTTAGATCACAATGAACAATGGACGTTTCACAATGGTTATGGAGATAATCTAATGCAAAAGCAACATCAATGGCTATGTTCAATCTTTGCATAAAATTCAATCTCTTACTTGGAGATTGCTCCTCATCTCTAAGATGCAACCACGAGTCAAGACTTCCATTTGGCATGAACTTGAAGACTAGACTTTTGAAGTCTCTACCATGATTATCAATGCTCGAGCATGCAGTTATGATCTTGACAAGATTTCGGTGCCTGACACTTCTTAAAGCTTTGCATTCATCATTGAAACTCTTAGACGCTCCTTGTTGTTGAAGGTTTAATAACTTAACAGCAACTACCCTTCCATCGCTAGGAATTACCCCTTTATAAATAGAAGCAAAACTTCTGGAACCAATCAAATTATCCATAGAGAAACCGTTAGTCGATTCAACAAGTTGTGAGAAGGAAACACCTAATTTCCAATCCTTATAAGAATGTGAAGTTACAAGTCCATCTCTTGACTTTTTCAGCATTGAACGAGCACCGAAGAAGCATGATAGAGCAATTATGAATGCAAGTGCACAAGATATAGGGATGACTACTTTTGGGGAAAGTAGTCCTCGAGATGTATGGTGTTTGTTTTTGGGGCATGCAGGTAGATGTAATTGTGGGATGCCACCACAGAGCCTATGATTTCCAAGAATTGAGACACCACTAACATTTGAAAAAATTCCTTCTTTAGGCAACTCGCCTTCAAAATCATTATAAGAAAGATTGAGATACTTAAGTGCTCCAAGCTTGCCTAAGAATTTACGAATATGCCCCGATAAGTTATTGCTTGAAATGTCAAATTCTTCCAAGCCCTTTAAATCTTTAAGAGACTGAGGAAGTGTTCCTTCAAATTTGTTGTCGTCCAAGTACAAGCCCCCCAAACTAGCACACATGCCGATGATGTTGGGGATTTCACCTGATAACTTGTTTTTTGATACATTTAGCAGTGTGAGATGCACCAGATCACCCACATTACTTGGCAGTGAACCAGTCAAATAATTTTCAGACAGGTCCAAACCAATTGAAAGGGTTGAAAGCTCCATAAGCTTTTGAGGAATGCTGCCCGTTAAATTGTTAGTATAAAGTGTAAGTAGTAGCAGGTTTGGACAGTCTCCGAGACTTGGAGGTATACTTCCCTCAAAATTGTTTCTATGCATGTAGAGCTCTATCAATGAAGTCATATTACCCAGGGAAGATGGAATTGGGCCAGAAATTTGTTATCATACAAATACAGTTTCCCTATCTTCTCGAGCTTCCCAATTTCTTCAGGGACAACACCCGCCAAATAGTTCCGAGCCATCTCTAGAGCAATGAGGTTTATCAGATTTCCGATGTCGTTTGGGAAGCTTCCATGTAACATATTTCCCCCTAAAGTAAGAATTTGTAGTTGGGTCGAAAGGTTGGCTATGGATCTTGGGATTTCTCCTCCAAAACGATTATAGCTAAGACCCAGACATTGAAGACTAGTACAACTAGTCAAGAAATTGAGAAAACTCAAATCACCAAGTTTTCCATTTCCCAGTCGATTGACTGCAAAGTTCTTCCACAAATAGCTCCACACAAATAAGAATTTGAAAGCTTCAAGTCATACAAATGAAAACTTTGTTTGTTTAAAACAACAGTTGACATAAAAGAGGCAAGGTTCAAAGCGACGGCAGGAAAAGTAAAGAAAAACAAGAAAAGAAAAACCACAAGCAGCATATCTTTGTCCTTTTTTAGCCTTCTTGAACTTTGAGGTACGAGTCTCTAATTGCACTCATTTTTCCGACAACCATATTCAAAAGCATACGCTCTCTTGGTGATACTGCACAGCAGGACAGTCCTATCTGCATCACAGCAAACAAGCATTCCTCTACCTTTTTTGCTTTCACCACTCTACGATTGTTACGTTTGGGCAGCGCAGTCCTTTCGTATCTATCATCGTTAACACTACCATCAGCTTCGAGGTCGAGGAGCAATGAAGGGTCAACAACGTCCATGACATGGTCAGGCAAAGCCATGGCTGCAAATTTGTAAATGCTTAGACCTTCAATGAACATGTCATCAGTAGGTGTTTTTCCTGTGAACATTTCTAGCAAGAGTATCCCGTAGCTATAAACATCTCCCAGTATGGAAACTTGGCCTCCCATGCCGTACTCTGCAGTGACATACATATAGACAATAAGATGTCACATGCAATTGACTATTAAAATTGATATCTTATTTCAGATTAATGTTACTTGTTTCCAGGAAAAAGAGTCAATAGTATATCTTTAATAAATAGGATTTAATTAGTTGGTTTTTAGTAATAAGTTAATAAGAATTGAAAAATGAAATTAGAATGATGGAATCTCATACCTGGAGGAATGTAACCTACAGAACCCTTTAGTTGTGATGACATTGTTTGAC